TGCATTATGTTAAAGTTAAATTTAAGGCGCATATTTATAATAGCTGAATTCGAATTGACAAGCTTTGGAGAGTAGCGAATTATTATCAATCGAAAGAACATTCTTTGGAATTTATTTTTTGAAGATTATCTCTTTCAAATGTTCGCCGCGGCTACGTCTCAGATGGTCCATCCGTTGTACTTAGTTCGAGTCGTTAGTTGACTCGTTCGAGCATTTCGAGTCGGAACTGGCGAATGACACGCGTGATGCTTTGCTCCAAGGCCTAAATCGAAGCAGGATTGTCCGCATAGACTTTAGCCTTTACATATCCCTACAGGCAAAATTCTAACGGTTTGATATCACATGATCTTAGTGGCCAATCGACCGGCCCAAATCGTGAAATTATCTACTCACCGAAGTGTTCTCTCAATAAATCCATTGATTGATGCGATGTATGGGGAGTGGCACCGTCTTGTCAAAACCAAATGTCGCCGGGATCACGGGCTTCAATTTCAGGCATCGAATAGTCAGTTATCATGGCGCGATAACGGTCAACACGGTAGTTTGCTATCTTATTGCAATTGTGTTGCGTTTTTCTTGTTTTTTTTTGGGTGAAGAAATAATTTTTTCGCCCAATATAATATCGTTTCGTTTTGTTGCGAGTACCGCCCACCAGGTCGAGGTTAAAATATTAAAATAAATATTTGCATCTTCATTTGACACAGAAATTTGTCATTTGAGCCATTAAATTGGCCATAAAATTGGTCTAAAATAGTTCAAACAAAACTTGATAGTATTGAAAATGGTTTGTATCACATTAATGAGTTATTCGCACACTTTCTGGTGGTTAACTATGTTGTTGTTTCCATAAAAATTGTTGACAAGCAGGTGATGCGAAGATAGCGAGCTAGTGAAACGAAGTCAGCTACAATATATATAATATTATTAATTCAGAAGCACAAAAGTATTTGTGTATTGAACTATTTAAATAAATTCCCAAAATATAAGTGTACAAAGTTCTCACTGGGTGGCTTTATGCAGGTACGAATAGTTTGGTGTATACGATCAATCTTAGTATATTTTTCCGTTAGATATTACATGTGGATCAAGGCTAAGTTATGCGTCGTAGCCGTTTACTGGGCTTGCGCACAAACATTTTAATGATATTATTTAAGTATAATATTATATAACTTAAGGTTACATCACGCTTCTTAAACTCAATTATAATCTTAATATATAAATAAATTATATACAAACAGTAAAAAAATTTATAATAATATAATAGAAATTTCTAATATTTTTAATACTTTAGATCATGTTTTTATAAAATGCCTTCTCACCGCTTTTTTTCAATCGTGCGAAATTAAAAACAAAAGTTCTTTGAATTTATCGAATATAAACAACAAAAGTCATAAAAAATAAGATATTTTATGATTTCGAGGCATTATTTTGTGAAAAATATAAAGGATTGTAAGCATTTTCTTTAACGATTTACGGTTGGACTTTGACCTTGAATAACTTTTTAACGAGTCGACTTAACAAAAAATCATATAGGATCGTTAAAAAGCCTTCAATAATAAATTTTCATTTTCACTATACAATAATTTGTTTAAATAAGGTACATTAAATATCCAAACCAAATAAAAAAGATTGTTCAATCTAATCACAAAGCGCCATCTGTTAATATTAATATTAAGAGCTCAAGTTTACCCGAATTTTTGTTTGTCATTTCGGACGATATTTTCACGGTATCTAATAAAAAGAATAAAAAGTTTTTTTAGCCCATCCTAATGAATACGTTGGAAACATGTGGTATTTGGTACATGCACTTTTGGAAGTATTAGAACATTAAATGTGATATTTTTTAAATTTGTATACTTGATCATATGCTATATACAAGTATAAAAGTCTAAGTTACATAGAATAATCTGAATGATGGAGTTATTATATTTGTGTATCTTTCATATTATATTAAACTTATAAGAAAGCAGTCATTAACATCATCGTTGTTATATGGAATAGTTCCTTGTGTAGTAAATTTGTGTTTTAACTTAAAAGTTGTGGAGTTCGAAACTGCAATGTTCCCATATACTTTAATGAGCTAAGGTTCAGTCGTTTTTGAGATATGTACAATACATTGCAGAGTCCGTCAAGTCCCCTTTTACTACCATATGTTGAAGGCATTTAAAATATTTAAAATTTAAATATGCCTTTCTGCAATGCGACAAACTTTGACTTTTCGCTATTTTGGAAAGTAAATCATTGAAATATCGGCCGACGTCGCTTTAAGATGATTGACAAATACTACAAACTTACTTATATGGTTAATAGTCAGAATCCAAAAGTTGCACTTAATAAGATATTTTGTAATTTTTCCGGACTTTCCATTCATTGTTGCGAAAGTTACATATACTTGAAATATGCAGAAGTATACGTCGTATACCAGGTGTACCGGTATGAAATTAGTTATTTTTTGTGAAAATGATATATTAATTTTGAATGTGAAAGTAAAAAAAATGTATTCAAAGTATTGACCATTGCTTTTTACACTTTTAGACCACCTTTCTGACAATTTTTGGACACCATGCCAATAGAAATATTCGTCTTTCGAAGCAAACTAATCAGACACCCAATTTTCAACTACTGCGTAGGAATCGAATTGCTGCTCAGTCAATGCGTGTCCCATCAATGAAAGCAAATGGTAATACGGAGGATGGTGAATACGGCGGATGGGGTATCAGCTTTCCGCCAAATGCTTTGATTGTATCCTGAACCGATTTTGCTTTGTGTACAGGTGCATTGTCGTGTAACCAAAATACTTTGCCGTACCTTCTGGCCCATTCTGGTCTTTTTTTATCAATGCATGGTTCAAATTGATCATTTGTTGTCTGTAGCGATTGGTACTAACAATTTAACCAGGTTTTAAATGCTCATGATATACCACACCCCTCTGATCCCAACAAACACAGAGCATTGCCTTCTTACCGAATCGTTCTGTTTTTGCTGATTATGTTGATGGTTGTCCCGGATTAACCCAAGATTTTCTCCCCTTAGGATTCTTAAAGTAAATCCATTTTTCATCGCAGGAGACAATTCGATGCAAAACGGGTTTTCTTTCGTGTCTTTGAAGCAAAATTTCACAAGTGTTTTTTCAGTTTTCCATTTGTCTTCCATTCAATTCATGTGGAACTCATTTTCCACACTTTTGGATCTTTCCCAACAACAACATTGGCAACATTTAACATGGGTGCCATTTGGTTATGACTCAAAGTATCATCTTCAACAATATTGCTTGCAGCTCGGCGTCTTCAAACTTTTTTGGTGGCCTTCCACGTTCTTCATTTCTCACATCAAAATCATTATCTCTGAACCGTTAAAACCATCTTTTGCCTGTTGCTTTTGATAGAGCATGATCACCATATGCTTCGACAAATATTGGATGCGACTCTGCAGCACTTTTATTCAAATGAAAACCAAAAATTAATGCTTTCCTCAAATCCTCACTTTCCAGTACAAAATCAACACAATGCAAAATTATGATGCTATTTGTTCAATAACTGTATTTGTTCATGCCAACCAAACAGAAAAAAGTTAAGGCTCGTTCACATTGTTCAATGTTGCTTACAAACACATTTGTATGTTATATATTCCAGTATACCTGGTATATAAATGCAATTGTAATTGTAATTTTGTACACGTCCCTCCTCAAGCATCTGCTCATTTGGTGAAAACGCCGATATCGGACTACTATAAAATATAGATGCCATACTTATAGATCCAAATTAATTTCTTGAAAAGAAAACTTTTTCATTTCACAAGATGTTTTTAACACAATGTTACAATCTCTGAACAAAGCGTTCAGATCTGACCATTATAGTATACACCATAGAATACCTACAAAGTTACCGATCAAAATCTTTTTTCCTTATTAAGGAAAACTTAATTAACTCGAATTGAAGGCTGTCTGTATCAAACAATGAGGCTAGAAAAAACTAGCGAAACATTTTCTGTTGGAGCGTTACATTTTCAGATTTGGTTGCTAAAAGAAATGCACCTGTGCCGAAGTTAGCGTTTTTTCTTTGTTTCTTGGAGATAATTTAAGCGAATTTTCACAAATATTTGTCGTTTAACTATGTACCTGATATGACATCGCAAGCCGGGTATTCCAAAATTACATGCTGGAAGAAAAAATTAAATCCCATCACTGAAATCACTGCATTCACAGACATACATACATAAAACATATGTTAGCAAGCATATTTGCCAAATCTTAACAGCATATGTACAGAATCGTGCTTATGTCATATAGTATATGAACAGCAACAAATAATTGGAACTCCATGCCGAATGCAAATAAATAACTAGAATTAAATTCAGCCCATTCGAAAGAAAAGTGACAGGCGAACTGACGCCAATTTCAGAAACAACTAGCTGTAACACGAGGCAATTTACTGCAATTGTTGACTTTGTGTTATTAAAATAATCTACGAGCATTCCTTTTCAACATCTGAACATGTGAACATGTGCTCTGACAAGTATTTCGCATTTGGTTGGATGAGAATTTTTGCTCCATTTGAAGGATTTGGGTCAGTCGCATATGAACTTACAAGTGCCACTGCACATTTGGCATATGTGTAGTAAAGGTTTCACACGCTGGGAAATTATTTGTGGAAAATCGTATCTATATTTATTTATAGACGGAGAGTGTGAAAAATGCAAGTATACTTCTGTGTACACATGAAGGCAAGCATTGTTGCAAGTGCAGTGCTAAATTAGTGCGCTTGCTCATACGACCCGGCACATTTAACTTACACGTGTAGCTGGGATAACGTGTCTTTGGAGACGATTTTGTTTAGCTTAATGTGCTTCTTTGCTTTCAATAAAAGTGCATTAAATATTTACGACGATAGGATGGAAATGTTATATGATGTTACGCTATAAAATTCTACCATATTTGCAAATTCTATCAAATTTTGATAATTTTAAATGAATTTTTTGACAACGATGTATTTTTTTTTCAGGAACGCTACAAGTCGGATATAAATTTAGCAATACAATTACTGCAGTGTAAACCAGATAGTTTCATGCCACAAAAAGTATCATCGGTAAGTAAATTCAATTCTCAATATGAAGAGTAATTGCATATAAGTTTGAAATTAAAATTGTTATGATCTTATTAAATAAGTAAAAGAGAACTGTAGTCAGGCATATTAGGATAATTAGAGTATAACCATATTTCGTTTCAAATCACAATATATTAATCGATATAGTCTCTCATATTAATGTTAGGATATACTAACCATTGTTTATAGAATAAGGAAGAGGACAGAAACGATAATCAATTTTCTCACTATAAGCTGCTCATTTGTTGGAACCACCGGACAAATATAGCTGCCATACAAACTGAAAGATCGGAATCAAGTACATGTATGGAAAGCATTTTCATTTGATGAGGTATCTTCATGGCATTTGGCATAGATTATTATACCAGGCATTGCTAAAATTTCCGAACATATTGTTCAGATCGAAGTACTATATTTTATAGATGCCATCCAAGCTGGCCGATTAAAATTAGAATAAAGATCTTTTTATATCCTTTTATGCTATAAAAAGTGTACCTGTGAAGGGTACAACAAATGTAACTTGGCCTTTGATGACCCTTTCTGAAATATTGTAATTGGCATAATTATAGGAATTAGAAAGTTAAAATATTTTAGCAATATATTTCATGAAGATATTTTCAATGTCGCCTACGAAAAGGTCTGATAATAAGTTTTTTAACTAGGTAAATTTTTAATATCACAACTAAGGATAAGAATTTTTTTTTTAATTACAAAAGTGAAATGATCAATTTAACAGCGAAAAATACATTTTTTCCGAAATTGAACTGATGGGCTTTTATTTCGATATATGTTTCTCTCTTCCTCACTATCATATTACAGTTACCGATTGATATACAGTCGAAAGTATCAGCCTACATGCGTCTGGAGACTAATTCACACTCTGATTCGGAAGGTAGCACTAGCGGCGTGGGTACCGCCACCACAGCTTCCTATAAAGTGCTTCCAGCATCGGACTCTCCGCCACCAACAGCGTGCCCCTTTCCACCTACTGCAATGGTATACTCAATGCGGGGGCTTGGTAAGTGTTAGTAGACCTTGATTTTAGTTTTTATTAATAATTTTTTTGTTTCTCTTGTATTACGTTGTTATATTTATTGTTGTTTATTTTAATCAATTCTTTTTTTCTTTTTACTCTTATTTAGCATGTTTTTGCTTTATTGGGATATTTAAAAGCACTATAATTCTTTTTACTGGAATTTATTTTATTGTACTTCGGTTTTTTTTTGTTTGCGGTAGCATTTTCTGATATGAGTGATCCACTACTTATCCTACTGCCAATAACTGTTTTCTGGCTAACTATAACTAATTTCAAAAAACGAGATTCTCAAAAAAAAATTGGGTATTAATTGCCTATAATTTATAATAAATAGTAGGTTTTTAAGTAAATAACTTCCCAAAAATTCCAAAAGTGTATTAATTATAAGAGCTCTGCTCTTTAATGTTTTCAAACATATGTGGGAATGAACACTGTACGAGTAAATCACATACATTCAACTCGAAAAATCAAATTCTAAACTCCAGTATATACTAAATGGGCTGAAAAGTCTCTAGCTTAAGTTGTTTGTAATAGTATTACTAATCGAGTTAGTCAATGAAAATAATTCCATGTGCATCCCAAAAAATACTGGCTAAAACCTGTTGAATTTTCGGACGATTTCCACCCCATCAGCGATTCAGGTGTAATGATGTATACGTTTTTCATCTTTTGTTACATGGAAGATTGATCTACACCGTTTTTTGAAATACCAACGATGTTACTAGATATATAGATTGAGAGTTGCGGAATGCACTGCGACCTGTAGTCAATGCATTTCATTTTACGGGCACCTAACATACTTTTCTGAATTTTCGCGATGTTTTCTGGTGATAAAAACTATAAAATGCACTCCTTGAGATGCATCATATCTGCAAATAAGGTCACGATAAAACTCAGGACAGGATGATATCCCATCAAGAAATAATGTTTTATCAAAATATTTTTACTTGAATTTTATTTTTTTCATTGTAAACAGAAATAGCAACACTTTGAGAGCTGCAAATTTTTAATAGTCCATTTGGGACCTTAAGCATGCTTCGTTTGAAATGCTGGTTCAAAACGTTTCTTATACTGAGCATTACATTAAGGAGATCGAAAAACTGAACGAATCGTACGCAAAAACAATAAAAACAGTTTTCCGCGAATTGATTGCGCAAAGAAAAAATATTATTTTTGAAAGCACTGTAAATTTTAATTTCATGCACAGCAGTGTATACTAATATTGTTGTAGTGTTTATACCATATACATATGTATATAATCTTCGCTGACATATATTTTTATTAACGAGTTTAGTAACACTTTTATTTGCAACAGAATTATAAGGCGATCTGCTCAATATACGCAGACATTGAACTTTATGGGTCAACTCTTGATCCAAGAAAATATTATACATTTTTTCATAAATATACTACGTTATCAAACAGAAATCACTCATAATGATTTGGCAAAATACCGAAATAGAAATTATGATAATTGTTGTTCCTTATTATTATTGTTGCCATCAATTTACGACATTTTGTAATTAATGGATATTTATTTATATTATTCCGAAATAAAGTTTGTTGTTTTTCTCACTTTGATATTACAATTACTATATTTAATATGTTAATTAGTGCTTTTTTAATTATTTGTTTAAGTTTTTTTTTTTTCAAGCAAAAAATTAACAAAAACATGTAAGAAAGGCTAAGTTCGGTTGTAACGCAACATTTCATACTCTTGCAACTTGCCAGGACCTTCATAATTTTAAGAAAGCTTTTCCCCTTAATTTCACACATTCGACCAACCTTAACAGTTTAAAGACAAGTGAGAAGTCAGAAATCACTATATAGGGTATATTGGGGCACAAAAGGTCCGGGCTGATTGCACAAACCTTGAACATTACTCAGGTATACTCGAGAACATATTTTTAAGCAATTTTATAAATATATAACACACACCTTGACCGATATATTCGGCATAAGGTTTGACGAAATAACGAAAATCATTATATGTATGGGAGTTAGGGTATTTGGACCAGTTTCACATATTTTCGGTATTAAACTGTTTACCATATATTCAATATTATATAAAGCCAGCCGTATTTTATATATTCTTATCATTACCACATATTATCAACAAAAAAGTATGCTCTCTGAGTTTCGTTAAGATACCTCACATACCATCACCAATATATAACGAGTAACGGGAACTAGATGTTTGAAAATCCTGATATTAGTTTTATGGTCTGAGGGCTAGAGCAGTTTTAGTCCGATTTGGAAAATTTTTGGTTGTAATGTGGAACACCTCAAACGCACTATTCGGGAAAAGTTATCCTATACTACTGAAAAGTGAAAGATTGAAATTGTGTTATATGAGAAGTAGGTGTGCCCATTTTCTCTCCCTAACATGGGAATGTCAGGATGATTTTATATATCGATTTTGGTTGAAATTGGTCGAGTAGGTCCCGATATATGGCTTTTCACCTAAAGGTGGACCACGCCTATCGTCCAAACATGACACGGGCTCCTACAAAGCCCTTTTGTACCATCCCGGCGGTAAAATTTTGTATAGTTATTGATTTATCGCGCATTTAGTGGTTTTTAACAAAATTGTTATTTCGGGAGTGGGCGGGTTATAAAACAATTTCATTATTTTACACACTTGACAAGGGTACCAAAGAGATAAATGCTGAGCAATTTTGAATATTATAGTTTGAAAGGTTTAGGAGATATGTACATTAAACTTATTGGAAGCTCCACTTATCTATTTTATTGTGGAGCTTAGTTATGGCACTTTATACGTTTTCAATTAATCTCGTTCTGTGGACGTGACAGTGATCCGATTACGCCTATTTACGAACTTGTCGCCCCGATTCGACAGTCAACCGGATTTCAACTCGTCTCGCCATCCTGATCATTTATATACACACTTATATAACTCCATATCTATCTCGATTAGTTTTAGCTGTTACAAACATTCGTTAAATGAACAAAACTATTATATCAATTGATGGAGCTTTAAATTAATTTAATTTGTTTTTTTATGGAACTATTCACTATTGTTTTCTTTTACTCATAATTTGTAATTAACTCGTAATAAAATATTGAAATAAATTCATTTATCATTTGTTATGCTAGTTTTTTATTGTGCATACACTCTAACGGGAAAAAATGTTTGTATTTTTGTTTTTCAATTAAAATATTATACTTTTCAGTTTTTTTTTCATTTTTGGCGACATATTTAATATCAATTTGTGTACATGGTTTGTTCAAAAAGTATCGCAAATTTTGTATTTATTAAGAAAGTGTCTATTTATTCAGGAATATCTATTGTGGCCCCTTCAAAGTAATCACTCCTAGATATAGCGTTTTCTTCCAATCCTCAAAGCAATTAAAAAGTAATTTTTTGTGATCTTGTTGAGCTCCTCCATCTATGCAGTTTTTAACAATCGTAGCGTAGGGTCGTCTTTTCATGGGCCTCTTCAGTTTTTGGAACGGGTCAGGTCTGGGGAATACGGTATGATTATTTCTTTTTTAGCCAAATAATTGAGCACGAGTTTCGCGTAAATTGCGCATAACTTGCCGGTAATATTCTCTATTGATCGTATGACCGTTTGGCAAGAACTCATGAGGCACGACGCCCCTACAATCGAAGAAAACTGTGAGCTAAGCCATCACATCCGACCGAACTTGGCGCGCTTTTTTGGTCTTGGCTCATGCGACAGTTTCCATTTGGATGATTGAACTTTGGTTTCCACGTCATAACCATAAACCCATGATTCGTCACTAGCCATGACCTTCTGGAGCAGATCTGAGTCGTTGCGGACTCGGTCCAACATCTCCTGAACAATGTCAACGCGGCGCTGTTTTTAGTTAAATTGAGCAATTTTTGCACAAACCTCGGGGCGACCCGACTCATACCCAATCATTGGTTAAAATCGAATGGCACGAGCCAATCGATATGTTTAAATCCTCAGTAATTTCTATAATGGTCATCCGACAATTGGACAATACTATTTTTCTCACTTCAATATTGTTTTCGTCAGTTGTTAACGTGCTCGAGCGTCCGTCACATCTTCTCGACCCTGTGAGAACATTTGTTACCACCGATAAACTTTGCCTTTGTCCAAAGTAGCTTCACCATATGCCGCAGTCAACATTCGGATTACGTCCGCGCACTTAATTTGGCTTTGCACACAAAATTGTATACAAATTCCTTGATCCATTTTTTAGAAAAGCAAAAATCGAGGAAGAACTAAAACGCGTTTAAGCAAAAGAACTGTCAAAAATTAACTAAACATTCAAAATGGCCTAGTCAGCATAAGTAAGGGAAATTTACCAACATAATGCAACAAAACAATCGAAAATCGAATACACGTAGCCCGCGAAAATTCAAAATTCGCCAAAAATTTTTGAACAAGCCTTGTATAAACTGATTAATTTACTTTGTACAATTAATAACAAAAATTTCATATTTTGCCCGCTCTCCCCTTTAGATGCTAAACGGACTTCAACGGATTCCAATATGAATCTCAGCAATAATAACAGTAGTAATAACAATAATAACAATGGCAATAATGACAACAATAATATCAAGGAGCCACTTCTAAATAACAACATAACAACCACCAATAATAACACCTGTGAGTCCAACACCGATCTTAATACTGATATTATTACGAACAGCAATAACACCAACAGCAACCCCATATCAAATTCATCGCCCCACAACAATAGTAATTCAAACGATCCCGATATGATTTCACCCATTATTATGGCAAAGTTCCTCGAGGACGAACTGAAAGCGAGTCAAGTTAAGCACTGCGACACTTGTCAATGTTCCAAACAGGATCTCACGGTGCTGGCTGACGTCTCGCGGTCCTATACAGTTTCCACGCAAACTCCGTTCCAACTGCAGCTCGCCGGCGGTACTCTTAACGAACCGCTCACACAATTGTGCCTACGTTGTCATAGCAATTTGAACTCACCTTCACGCACCAACAGTCCCTATCTGATGAAATTGGTGAAATCCAGTGATTCTGTGATTTCGGAAACGAAAAGTTCTGTATCGGATCTCAACGATATGGATAAATTGTTTACGCCAGCCAAAAAGGACGATTTGATGGTGAATCCCATATTGGGACATCATCGCTTGTGTGATCGTACGGCTGGCAGTGGTGCTTTGCAACATCAAAACAGCATTGCGGCGGCCAAGTTGAGCACCACCTTACTTTATCCAACCACACATTTGGGTACTTATGGGAATGAGAAGTATTTGTTGGAGACGAGTAATAGCCTTGCAGCTGGTATGCAGGTGAAGAATGGCTTTCAGCGCCGCTTCCTGGAGGGTGGGGGCACTGCGCTGGAGTTACTAAATGCCGCTATTGGTAGTGGCAGTAATGCTACAATTCAAAATATTGCCAAGAAAGTGACGGAACAAGTAACACCAAAATCAGTAGGCAATAATGAGTTGGATGACGAGGCGAAACCTTTGCTCAGCGCAAGCTCACAATCTAATTTACTGGATTATGGTAGATTAAAACCAAGTGTGGGCATAGAGTTAGCTGAGCCTGCAATGGAGCAGCAAATGAAATCACCAGCGAGTGTATGTAGTGCCTCCGAACCTAAGCAAAATCTCATGAAATCTGGAATCACCGGCAGCGAGAATAGTCTGTGGAGCAGAACGAGTAGTTGCGAGGGCGCAAAGATGTTCGAGACCTTTAATAGGAATTTGATTAAAACCATCAAGGTAAGTAGAACCAACACATTGCTGACTAAGTACTTACAGTGTTTAAAAGTGAAGAGCATATACAAGAATTAATGAGATTAGAGAAATGTTTTAAATACAATGATACCAAGACTAGAAAAGTGAGAGAGAAAGTTTTTGTGAAGTAATTTATTACATTGCTAACCGGTCCAACCGTTACCAACTTAAAACCCTTTTGTTTTAATTCGAGGCTATCTTTATTTACGTATAATTTAATACCATTAGGTGATGGATAGATACGTTAATGTACAAAATTGTTGCGTTCGTAGTGATGATAATCCACAAGCCATTGTTGAGACGCCGTTTTATCTTCAAAAAGTCACTGTTTGGTGTGTTCTATGGACAATGATTCCCGGTCCATATTTCTTCAAAAATAAAGCCGGCGATAATGTTACAGTCAATGGGGAACGCTATAGGCCCATGATAAATGGATTATTTTTAGTGGGTTTATGTGCAGTCGCCAGTGTACGCAGATAATGCCGACAGGATTGACGGCTTGGGAGAAAATATTCGGCGCGTTATTGCTGACATACGGCAATTAGGCCTCTCCACTGGAATTTATTCCTGCCAGCCGCGGCGTTCACTTGCCCGAAATCATTTTTAAAATATAATGACAAACTCTTATTTTTATAATTAAGCTAAATTCATATCCATAACATTAAACTATATACGTTTTATTTCTTCATGAAAGTCACATATCTAAACTAAACACCCTTCAGTTGAATACAATATTCTCACAACATTACTAAAAAGACGTTCTTCCGGCTTCCATCTTTCTACGCGGGCTTTATATAATATTAATAGTAAAGCTTCATTTAATTCTAATTTGTAATTAGTTTTGGTAACATCTAACAATGCGCTTTTGAGTAGATATTCTCGTTTTCGTTTTTAAAACTGCTTCCGTAAGCGAACAATCAAAGTAGAACATGTGAAAAATGTCTTCGAGGTGTTCCCAAAACATGAATAGTGGAGTATTAAGGGTAATAGCTAGCTTTCTCCAGGCTTGCTAAAAAGTTAAATGGTGGTCGACTTTAATCAGATTCATCTCTGCTGAATTGGATAGAGATTATCTTCAAGACAAAATATATGTTATTATGTAGACTAAGGGCGAATATAAAGAGGTTATTAAGATAAGAAGTTTTTGTTAAATGACACTTGACCACTTAGGCACTGTAAAACCACGGTCATAAATTAAATGTTAAACTTATATTTATTTAATTTTCCTTCCTTACAGGCTGAAAACCCCAAAAACCGCGGACCACGTCTCTGCGCTATGCGTATACAACATAATGGGCAAAGCAATATATTGCTAGATAACATAGAGTCTATGGAAGCAGTTACGCCCATTATTTACAAACGGCGAGAGCGTCTCTTGGACGAAGAACTAGATGACATTAAGGACATCATAACTTCCAACGCAACAAATATTTCGAGTACAGAAATAGTAGCAGCGCACCAAGCAGAAGATGCAGACGTCGGTTATACCACGGATGCAGGAAATGAAAAGTTGACAGATGTCATTACCATACAAGCGGATGCATTAGAAAATAATACCAGCACGCAGGCGCATCACAATGAAACTGACCTACAGTGTGGAATGCCTGAAAACGAAGTGAGTCCAAACAGCTGTGTGGTAACAAATAATACCCCAAATGAACGATTAGGTGACGTAAGCGATTGTAGAGAAACCTTTACTGCTGATGGTGCAACAGCAGCACTTATAGACCTAACGGAAGTAGCCATTATTACAAGTGATAAAACAGCAGTACAAGCAGATCAACTCAACACGGCGCCAGAGGAAAAAGTGCAGGAAAAGCGAAATTCGCTCACTTCAAAGTCGAATGTAACGCCGACGATCAGCGTATTGGATATAGCGCTTGCGCAAACTTCATTAGATGTCACGGGAGCAACTCAAATGCGTAACGATCCAGTGAGAATTGTGAGTAGTGCTCAGCAAATGCAGAAGCCAAAGCATACAAGCATCTATCATTCACTGCAAAATGAGTCCGGCTCCAAGACCTCACACAATTCCAAGTCCTGCACACAGTCGAGTTCTATAAGTGATGCTATTGACATTCAAGAGAGCATTATGTTGCGCCGTCAACAGCTCAATCGTGTGGCCGAATGGGTGCAAAGTAATACGCAACAGCTGGAGCAGCAACAACAGCAACAGCAGCAGCAACAACAACGCATACAGCAGCAACAACAAGCACTGAACTCTCTGAACAATTGCGACTCCTCAGGTGGTACAGATCGACAATCATCATTTTCAACACTAGATCCACTGGACTCGGTCTCCATGGAGAAACTGTCAATGGATTCGGGGTATAAAACTACGCCACAACCGCACACAAATGGCTCCCATCAGCCGTTAGATGACGCGAATAAGTCTACAGAAGACTCACTCTCACCTAAAACTGATACGAACTCTAGTCTTAACAACAACAACTACAAAAATAGCGCACTTCTCAATCACTTCCCATCGGACAGCATCAGCAAACAGCTGACCATGCACGTCTACCCCACAAACACATATTTTCGACGTACCACACGTTCCGGCCTACCTGTGGCGTACACCACACCTGATCCGAATGCCTCCAATGCTGAGACTTTCTTAAATAACTACAATAATAATAACAACAACAACAGCGCTTGCAGCACAACACCAACGCTGCCCGATCAGCCTACTTGTGATATACTCAACTACAAATACTATCCCAGTGATACGGATAAGACACGCGCCATAAGCGCCGAACTCCATACCACCACCAAGCACGTGGACATTGCCCAAATGGAATACAATGTTAAGCAATTCTTGCTCAAGCAGAACGAATGGTCGATGCGCACCAGCAACACTCGTGGCGGTCGAGGCGGCATCAACACGTCGGCATCCAACTTGAGCAGCGCCAACTCACAAGTGACGCTTAGCAGCCAACGTACGCAAACCACAGCGAAGACATTGCGGCACTTGAAGCTGTTTAGTGGAGTTGGTGTGGGACCAGGTCTGGGTGCGAGGGTACAGCCACCTTTGATAAAGGATGCAGCGGCGGCGGCGGCGGCGGCGAAGGCAACGGGTTCGTTAAACAACCGCGACGAAGGAGAGCTCAAAGTGAAGGCGGCGTCGGCGAATGACGTCGAAGGTGTGAAAGTCACAGCAGCGGTAGCAGCAAACGCCTTGCCACAAAGGACTGAAACGAATTTATAAGAAAATTTAGAGGTTAAACTATTGTAATTGCAGCTTAAGCTTATATAAAATGTGCACACATACTACAAACAAACCAACGTACATACACAAATTTACACTAAGCTATATGTAATTAACTAGTTTTGTATTAACGGTGAATCAGTGCGAGCGTAAGGCATGCGAGAAGTCGCAAGAGCTTGCCAACGGAAGAAAGGAAGCGTTAAATTAACTAAGCTTAATTCCATAAACTCACCTAAATTAAAGTCAAATAATTTTTAACGCAACGCGTATATAAAGTCTGTACAGAATCAAGTCTTACTTTAATACCCACATGCATACGTAATAATTTTAGAATGAAAATGAAGAAAGTAGTCTCTATGTAAATATGTGGGTATATGATAATACACGAGAGCATACATTTGTATGGTTGTATATGGGACTTTCTATATTCAAGCCATTCTGAATTTTAATAAAAATATTTGTATTATTTTTTATTGATATATATATTGATAAAAGTGTTATATGTAGAAGGCTGAAATATTGGGTATTATTCAATTTAGGTGTCATGGAGTACGATCAACTTCCTCCTATAACTCTTCAATACCATCTCTAACTTTTCGTTACCATTTTTGTAAGCGGTTTCTATCGAGAATTTTCGTGAGTGTATGCATAAGCCATTCGAATCATAAACCATTTAATTCTAACATTGCTTTCATTAACTTTTGATACTGTGCTTTGGTCAAGCCATGACGTTTTGTCTAACACAGAATCTCCTGTAATAACTTGTCAGTGTCAGTTAACTCGATCAACCTCCTTTAAAGCTCATCTATAATAATATTGGCGATTTGTTTAATGTTTTCATTCGCAACAATCTCGTTCATCGTTTTTATTGCTTATATATCTTGTATGGAATTAGGAAATCACTTGTGAATTGCTGCTTCGGTTGATGTAGAGCCATTTTTGGTATCAGCAGCATTTATTTTTTATTAAAAATCGTATAATGTTTCGTTAACACACATATCTCCTTCTAGCCCATTTCTTCAGAATACTAAAACTTGAATCACTTAAAAAGCTGCATCTTACAAACCAATTGTCCGACAGAATTTCATATCTGTGTAAAAAAACGTAAAATGAATTAATGATCTTTCAATTATTTGCTTTGTTACTCAATCATCTTTCGATCACTGATTAATTGATAAGGTAGTTGGTAGGTTGAATGTGAAACCACCGGGACTAAAATCCCCTCAATCTATAATAACCTCCCTGAACCATCCTGAGCTCATGATGAAGTTCATCAGTACAAAAAGATTCATTTGTGCCACCTACGAGACCTTGTCAAGAATGCCTCGGCCAAAGTTCTTTCATAAAGCCTTAAAAGACTTAGTGATTTCAAAGCCGCTTGGCTATCTATGTACACAAATTTATTTCTTGCTGTAAAGACACTCTTTGTGAGAACAAGAAGAATTTCTCTAGTCTTCTTCTTCTCTCCCATTGGAAGATTAGTTAGTTAATCACAACATAAAAAGATATATTAAGCGTGAACACTAAGAAAACACAGTTGATTTTAGAATGGAAAGACCCATATACTCGAATATACTCCATTAATAACTAGATAAACTCCACGCGCCTAAAATATAATACGTATACATATTCGTTTAAATATGAATGTGTATATGTAATTGATAGCTTCCGTCTTCTACCCAGCCCTGCCTAATAAGCCCTGCCCTTCCGTACGCGTTAGGAAGCGCTGAAAATGTTATAATTCCATTTAATATTTATGAATGTAATCGACTTAAAATAAAGACGACTCATAATTATTACAATTAAACCTAAATATATACAACCATATATAGATGTAAATCGTAAAAAGGCAAATATTATAAATATAGTAGCTATGAAAGTAACGAGAACAAAAATACAGCTAAATCGTCCAAAGAAAACTAAGATAACTTTAAAGATATACATACATACTTTATTTAACTAAAAGTAATCTATATAAATCAATATATACATACATTTTCATTGAAGTGTCGGCTTTTGCAAATACTCGTACGCTTAAAAAATAATCAAAGCAACAAAAAATATAGCTGAAAACATAACTTAACAAAATTTTATAGTGTTATGATATTTAAAAATATTTTGTTTTATTGGTTTGCGAACTGTTGAGTCACAGGCAGATAGAAACTTAACTTAATGTAATAACATACTACTCTTTATGAAAGCTAAATTGCAAGGGCTTAGTTTATGTGAATTAACTTGGTCACACTGGCTAAGAGTGTATAATGTAGCTAGGAATTTTAAAAGGATCTCCTTTCGGGGTTTCTACTCCCTTCTTATTGTTCAAAAATATTCAACAATCAACGATAAACTTTTCCTTTTTCTAGCTCAATTATATTGTTTATCTATTGATTATAGCCAATAAGACTTGCACAAATATAAACAAGTAAAGAAGTCGAGCAATTATAACTATACTCTCGGAGTTTTTCCAAGTGTCAGCAAAAATGTTACATGAACTCAATATTAATTCCACTGGTCTACAGTGGTTTTGTTGCCAAATATATAAGATCGATTTTGGATATACTTGTTCTCACAATTCATGAAACTTTATGTATTTATAATGTCGGTTTTATTTTGAAAAATAAGTATAAATCGAATAAACAGAGAGAAGAGTGTCGAAAACATTTGGTATATTTCAATAAAACTGTTTTTAGGAGCATTTCTTTTATAATTTTACATTTAACAATCTCTTTTTAAGGACCAACACTGCCATCATGCGGCGTTCCCATCAACTTTTATACCTAACATTCCGCACTTCCAAGCTACAATTTCCGGAACTCTGTAAATCTGTATCTTTCTTTAATTTCCGTGTTTGATGACCATTAAATATTCCACTTCTGGACTTTTCCTTACTAAGGTTCGGAAATTTTCTAGAAATGTAATTAAAACAATATTCTTGCACATCTACTGTTTTGAAGAATTGCTATAACATTCCTAACTCTTATCACTTATTATTGTAAATCACTGACATCATTTTCAGAAAATAAAAAAATTTACGCCAAATGTTTCACTTTCCCATTAACTTCTACTCGTAGATCATACCGATTTCTGGGAATTTTGCGACTTCATGATTCCATACTTCATGCCAATAACCATAATATAAGATAAGCAGTAATCGTAAAAACAGGAGCACATTTACTACTACTACTACTTTCATGGTTAAATTCGTAATCTGGACACTTTGAAACATCATTTCTAAGATATCAACCACAAAAAAATTATTTCTTGTTTGTAGTTTTTTTCGATTGTAATCAACCATCATTATGTTGAGAATATGGGAGTTAGTAGAATGTATGGACCGACCTTATGCTACAAGAGGCACGAAGTTCATTATATTAAGAACATGAGGATAAATCAAGGTCAGGACCGACCTACTTTTGACTTCTAGATAAAATTCGCCTTTGACAATATTTCCATGGAATTTTATTAAGATAATCAGACAATTTACTCGGCATAGCTAACTATACAGTACACTAACTTAAATCATTATATAGCACAGACTGGGGTATCGATAACAGATTAAGTGTGGCTTACATTATTACTTACGAAATTTGGAAGCTAGGGGAAGTACTTATCGATTTTTGTCAATCTTTGCACCTGGCCTCCAGCAAAAGATATTCATATTTTTGGTAAAACGTCAGCCATATCCACAGGGGTCCTTTTGTTCCGTATATGTTAGGTAAGAATCAATTCGCCCCAGCTCAAAGCTATATCTGTGGATTAATTTGATCAGGTTATGAAATCTACAGAACTTCAATAAACTTAAACTCATGAGACTTCTCACGTATAAAATTGAAGTGTTAGGTACAATATGATGGGAATAGAGTCGCAAATCTATGCTGTGACCGGAATGAACCGCAAACATATGGCTAATTAGTTTTATCCTTTTTATACCCCGAACAAGGTATATAAAGTTTGCCACGAAGTTTGTAACGCGTAGAAGGAAACGTCAGAAAGAATGATATATATATATATATATACAAGATATAAATATGATAGGTATGAATTCTTTATACACATTGGAACGAGCCACAAATGCTTTAATTGTTTAGTAAAGAAATAAATTTATATTAAAGGAAAGCTAGTTCAATTAATTTTCCTCTGAAATAAATTCATTTAAAATTTTACTTTTTTTCATTTTTAGTATCACCAGCATGCATTTAATGTTTGAGGCGAGACAGTTGCGAGAAATTAATGGCTCATAGTACTATACAGAGAGTAAACCGAGTATTTCCGTTTTAAAAACTACTCGTATCATTTTTGAACAGCAGTGAGCTGACTGAAGTTGTTATGTTTTTGTGCGAACTTAATTAAAAACTGACTTTATGAATTCAAAATATTAGCTTGCTCGAGAACATTTTAGTGTGAAGAGCCTTCAACTTTCGATTTTATTTTATATTTATCATTATTTTTTTATAAAATCAGCTATAAACTGCGAAAGCTATAAAAAATTTCATATCCTCAGTACACATACATATATAATGGAAATGGTGTAAAGCAATATCAAACCCAAAGAAACAAAAGCAAAAATGAAACACATATACAATCACATTCATACATGTTTACGGTAGAAGTGTAAGTATAGGTCTGTATTGAATACGTAACCGTATTTGTACTAGTAATAGCATTTGGTATTAATGGAATTTGCATTTGTCATACACATATTGTCGGTGTGCGAAGAATAAATTAAAAATTACAAAATCGTAAAAAATATCTGTGAAGTGCTTTAAGAGGAAGAACTAAGCAAACAAACCTTCAAGTATTGTATATTTTCATTTTCATAATAAAGTAAGTATGTGTGTGTATGTTAGCATGTGTGGAAATCTATTGATGTAATAATCGTTTTGAAAACAAAAATGTATTAATTAAAATGCAAGTAGTTACCTAAACCAAATTGCTCAATTAGTATCTCCTCCAACTTAGTTATTAGGCAAACTGTAAGCACACAAAAACTATATATGTATGTGTGTACGTTCATGCACGAACCATATATACAAATATCGGTTAAGGCTTTTCAGATGTACCTATGAAGTAAGCAGTAATTTATTTACAACTACAACATATATGAATGTAACGAGAACTCATATAAAAAAAAAATAATCCAAAAACAAAACGAAAACTTAGAAAAAAGACGATAACCTTTAAAACAAATAGCTTGCATTGTTCGAAATGTGCGTATTGAATCCTTCCTATTGTATACCTTGACTTAGTAGAAACAAACGTTTTTCTTATATGTATTCGTATACACACACCGACACACACACATACGCATACCAAAGTAAATACTTAGCTAACATATGCCAAAGCCTGCAACTAAATAAATTGTAGTAACATTTGCTCAAGTGAAAAATATAATTGTGCATACATATTTACTTGCAATCGCCTCCTCAATGCGTATTACCATAACACACTACTTACATATATATATGTAAATGATATAAATTAATACAACTGCATAAATATAGTAAGCGATATATAATTGTAAAATGAAATTGGTGTTCAAATGAAGTAAGGCAATTAATTGATACCTTTCGCAATATTTGTCCTTCAATTTGTTTCAGCACCTATTTTGTTGTCAACACATATGTACATGCATACAGACGCATATGTATGTAACCAAAATAAATTTATATATGTACGAATAAACTTATACTCACATATACACCTGCAACTATTCATACATACATACCAAACTTCGAAAGTGGAATTCACTTGGAATCATATGAAAAGCAACGCAAACAAATCATGAAACGGCTTCATTACTAAGAGTACTTGCATAAGTGCACACATACTTACATACATATGAGAGCTCACCTTCATATACATTTATTCAGGTTAAACTACATACTAAACCAGTTTAGCGAAAGCTTTTAATTAAAAAATTAGTTCGCCATTTGAAAAATCAAATAGTTTTATCTTTCGCGCTCGAAATCTTTAGGTGCTACAGTTATAAAACAAACAATTCGTACACTAAATACAAAAGGATCACCACTCAAAAATTCCTAAAATCAATTTTTTTCCTTTTGAAATGATTAATTTTCGATGAAATAACTGTGATTATCACACTGTTATATGATGTCTTAACTCAAAAATGTCTCTTAATTTCTCTTTTAAACTATAATATTCGATTAAGACGCTCTTTATATTAGAAGACATTTTACATTATGAACGACGATTTGACTGTAAAATGTCAATAATTTTTACAGGAACTGTTTTTTGCTCTTCCTGAATATTTGTCATATTTTGAGTTGTGATTCGTTTGTAGTTATGTAGTGCGCGAATTATTTTGTGTAATATGCCAAATGTAGTGCCAAGTACAAAACTTCAGAATTTGTATTGCATATTTTTAGGCGCTGATGGTGTGTTATTTTGCCAATTTACTGTCATATTATGGATGTCTACCGAAGGCATTAAAAATATAATTGAATTAATTTTTTTATGTTATAATCCCGAAAATTTTAAATAAAAGTTACTTTCAAAGCCAAATGTTTTTAGAACTTACATTTTTCGGGCTTGCGTACTTCGTGTTCTACAATTTTGAACTAAAGCTCGCACAGAGGCATCATCTTCAATACTTTAGAGCATTGGTCCGCAAATTTACACATTTAAACGATGTAAAATTTATCAGTTTTTAATTCTGAATTGGGATTAATAAAATTTAAAATTTCTACCATGAATTTAATAAATACAATTTTCAGTTTTAAATTTTTAATCCCAGACATATTAGATTAGAAATTAAAATTTTTTTAATTTTTAATTTCAAAAACAGAATTAATGATTGAAGACTTAATTTTATAATATAGATGTTGTGATTTAAAAATTTAAATTTCAAAATATTTAAATTAAAAAATCGCAACACTGATGTCTACGATGTCACGTTAGAACTGAAAACGACCGCTAAACTGGAAAAATCATGAATATCAATTTTATTTAAAATACTGAAATTAATCAGAAATGTCCAAAAACCAAGTCAAGAATAAGAGATACAAATAATAACATGAATAATTATAATTAAGATGAATAATTATGAACATGTAAAACTTTTCGGCGGTTAATTTGTTTCTTGTTGAGATTATATTTCAAAAAATTTTGTTAGGTTTGTTTTCTGCCCCAATAATAAGGGCTACATACAATTATAACCGATTAAATAAAGTATTGTCATTCAGACAAAATATACATATGTATATACAGCTATGGACAGAGATTTAGCGCACTTTCTTATTGTGAAATACAATACTTAATAAAGTTACATTTAAAGAAAGTAAAACCGTTGAATTATACAAACACCATTTATTACTTTATTTATTACATTATTACCGAGAGTAGTTTTTTGTTAGACCAAACACAACTAATGACCGAAAACTATAACTGCGCTAAATCATTGTCCAATGAATTTATGACAAAATTTAACGAAAATAAATAAATAAAATCTGAATGAAAATTATAACAGTTATTTGGTTACGCATTTAAAGAGGCGAGAGAAACAGTATTGATCTACTAATAATAAATTCATGAAAATATCGATTCCTTACAAGTAACAGTAATGTTTCTAAGTGCGCTAAATCTCTGTCATTAGTCGTATAGAGTATACTATTTACTATAGTAAAAATAACTCCATTATATAATTATAATTATCCAATTTTGGTGAAATATGCATCGTTTGGTTCGACAACTTGCTAGTAGTTTAAAGGCAATTCCAAATCCTCGTTCTTATAAGCGAAAAACTGGGACAGCCGGTTTTCATAAGTTTCTCTTGAGTTGAGTTTTTCACCAATAAATCATTCGTCATAGACAGAAACATAAACAGGTAGTAATCACATGACGCCAAGTCTAAACTATAAAATGGATGCATAAAAACAAGCCAACCAAGCGCCCAGAGCTTCCGGCGAGTCAATATGGATGTGTGCGGCCAAACTTGGCAGCTTCTGCACGATTGCTTCCTTCAGACGATCCGATTGTTGACAGTACATGTCCGAATACTGGGTATGGTCATTGGGGAGCAACTTATAGTAGATAATTTTCTACGAATCTCACCAAACACATAGCAAAACCATCTTGACCGCCAATCGCGGATTATACATCATTTGTGCCGGCTCACCACGATTCAACCACGATCGTTTTCAGTTGACGTTGTCGTAAGTGACCCACTTTTCATCACCAGTAAACATCCATTTCAAAAATGTATCACTTTTGTTGCGATTCAGCAGGGATTCGCAGATGAAAATTTGGTCCATGAGGTTTTTGCGTTAACTCGTGTAGCACAACTTCATCGAACTTCTTCTTAAATTCAGCCCAACTTAAATGGTTCCAGAAGATTTTTGGTTAAGCTCCTCGGTAATAGAAACAGTGTTTACATAGCGGTCGAATTCGACAATTTTCATTATTATGTCGATATTTTTGACAATTAGTCTTCCAGTGCGTGACGTATATTTGACATCAAAATTAAATACTAATTACTTATTATTCGCACTTACTCGTATACAACGCGAGTACAATCACTAATGCCATCATCGTCTAAACTAAATAAACGAAATAAATATCGAAAAAGTAAAGTTCGGATCTTTGTGGGCGCTTGTGATTTTGCAACGAGCTTTAAACAACTGTAGACATTACATACTTTTAAGCTGATTTTAAAAGCATTTGGCATTTAACTGAAAGCACCGCTAATTTTATGTTTACTTCGAAACTCATTGAATACTGTACTAGTTGGAAGATTTATCAATATTATTTACAACAAATTTTTTTAATCACCAAATTCTTCGTATTAAATAAGACTTATTATTCTAATTCAACATGTTTAAATATATGAGTTAGAAGTATCTACCTATCGTGGTCAATCGCCCCTTCTGAAATCTGCTTGTATTGTATTTCAAACAATTATTAAATATCTTAAAAAACATTGTACTTATATACAAGAATTGCGAATAATTTGGCATGAAGTCTGTTAACATACTATTTATTATGTATTGTTTTTATAATTTGCTAGCAACAAAGTCCAATTCAGTTATACTAAAGCTAAAAACAAGCGTCAACTTCAATATACAAAGGCATAACATATATTATATATTTACATTATTCATTACCTACATATACGAGTATATACGAATATATACATAAATACAAAAATACATGTACTTACTACATACATATATTAAACTGTACTATTTGTAAAAAATACTTAGACAAATATTTTATATTTCAATGATTTATGAGTTGGCATTTTTCAAATGAAACTGATTTCATTTTGGTTTGTATGTTTATATTGCAAATCTGAACTCTACCTGCTCTAAACCACCTTAACATATAAGTGATTCAATAAAAATAATATATATGAGAATAATTACAACAATTTAATAAAGTATAAATAATGTATACAAAAAGTCGGAAGTAATTTTTAATTTAATATTAAGGATAAGTTCCAAAGAATGTAGATGCGAAGACAATTCGAGGCCCAATTTATACAATTCTGGTGGTGGGCGTCTTTCCACGCTTTGAATTTGGTTTATGCCATGCTTCTAGGATGTATGTAAAATGTATGTATGTAAAATTTCCTCAAAAACTAAGGCACTAGTTCGCGTATATACACACGGACAGACAGAGATTACAGTTAAGGCACTGACTATAAAAAAAGAAAATAGAATTACTAACGAACTTAAAAAATCATTCGAACACAGAGATTATTCTTCCATACATATATGCATCGTATGTAAATCGCATTTGCGTTAATTAGAATCTATGAGCTATAATATAAAATAATAAGAAACTAGCATACATAGGTTTTAATATAACGTTTTGTCAACACCTGAAATGATTTCCTTGCCATTGATCCTTACAAATTGTGAGAGTATAAAACTTACAGTTACACCTGAAATCAGCTCTTCCTTCCTTTTTTTCTTTAGTTTAAGTTATCATATACTACTGTGCCGTTAGCACCAAGACGGGGCGGGGTTTATTTTTGGGATAAAAAAAATTAAATTTCCCATTACGCTTCCTTTGCCAATTCTTCTTTATATATACAAAATGTACTGGAGGTTTTCCTTCTTGTTGGACCATTTGATATCTCCAAGTAATAAACGTAAATGATTAACCTTTACCCATTACCATGCCACACTTACAAATATGCAAAAGTAGAACTTCTGGTATTCGGTACTTTTAGCAAATGTGTACTGATAACAAGTTTATATAGTTATTTAATTTATTTTATTAAATATTTATTGTTTTGGATTAAAATTACAGTCATGAATGAAATAAATAGAATTTAATGAGCTTACAATGATATCGCGCATAAAACTAAGTTTATAAATTAAAATTAAAATTTTGGATGAGGCTTTATAAGTGGCTTAGTAAATAAATCTTGGCCACTGCTACATTAGCAATTATAGAATGGCAATGCAGAAACTATTGACTTTGAGAACTTATAGTACCTTATAATAAGCGCAATTTTTCGATCTATACTACCTTCTTGGCCTTTTCAACATTCTTCCGTCCCTGCTGACTTGCGTCGTCTTCGACAATGATCAACTGATCCGTATTGCCATCCTCCAGGGAGTCGAGACCAACTTCGGCGCTGTTGCGCACTTCATTGTCGGACTGATCAACCTCTCCACCTTCCTCTCCTGGCAGCTGTTCTGGCTCTGCCACTGCATTTGTCAACTCATCTGTTTTGACCTCGTCAACTTTGTTGTCCACCTGTAAAGGGTCTGCAGATATAATGGAGCCAGCTGGAGCTGGTGCAATAGCCACTACGGTGCCACTAGTAGCAGCGGCTGGTGGTCGATTGCCGCCCTGCAAAAAGCTGATAATACCTTGGAAAGGACCTTGTTGAGCGGGATTGGGAGTAGCACCGGTAACTCCAACTACACCCGCAGCTGGTGTATTGCCACCGACCAAATTGCTAATCAACGACTGTATGGGACCAGGAGGACGTTGTGTGGTTGAATCGGCAGTACTTAGCTGAACTTGTTGCTGTTGGCCACCCAAGCTCGATAGTGTGTTTTGAAATTGTGTACCCAAATTATTCGCAAACTGTTGAACGCCCTGGAAAGCTTGTGCGGTGGCATTTGCAACGCTCTGTGCAGCATTCTGGACCTGAGTTATAGCGTTTTGAGGATTCAGAAATCCGGGCAGTGTTGGTGCGGGTGTAGCAGGCTGATCAGCAGCTACTTGTACGCCTGGCGTTGCCAACTGCTGTTGTTGCTGTTGGCCAGACAGTTGTCCAAAAAACTGACCAAGCGGCGAATTTTGTATTAATTGTTGGACAAAGTTCTGTTGGGTGGTGGTTTGGGTGGGCGTAGCTTGTGTGGCGGCTGCAACAGCTGCTACCTGACGTAGTTGGTCGACAGAGGCAGGCGCAGGCTCATCGGCGATGATATCAACAACCGCAATGGGTTCATTGGAAACAAGCTGTTCCACAGCAACAGCATTTTGAGACTCAACAGGCAAACTGTCGATGACCAACGATTCGGATTTCAACTGGTCGTTGCTTTTTACATCATCTGCAGTATTCAACTCCGCGGCTGGAGCCTCAGGTGCATTGAAATATGCGACAGCGGCTTCGTAGGCTTCAGCCGGTACACCATTCTTCAGCTCGATATTGATTTCCTGCGCTTGTTTCAGTAGCTGCTGCGGTTCCTTGGCCTCCTGTATTTGCGTTGCCTCCTCAGCAATGGTTGCAGCCTGCAAGAGCTCACGATTCTCACCTAATATCGCCTGTTTGACTTCCTGTTGAATAATTTGCTCATCCTGCTGCCTTTCGCTTTCGAGCAAAGCATTAGCGGTTTCCAAATTATCTGCAGTTTCAACGGGCTCTGCTATTTCCTCAGCGATGTTTTGGGGTCCGGGAGCTTCGTTATTTTCTACGGTGGTTTTCAATTGTTCAGTTTCGCTAGCCTGTGGTACTGGTTGTGGCTTAATCTGCTCGGTTTCCAACTGCTGACCTTCTTGTACAATCTGCACTGGTATCAGATTCTCCTCAGCGGGAGCTGCAATTAAGTTTTCATTGCGACTTTGTCTATGTACAAGCCCAGCTTGCACGTTGACAACGAGTAACAGCAAGATAGTAGGCGTCAAGCCGACCTTTGTAAACCGCATTTTCACTTGGCGCAATATACCACTTGTTGGTGGGTGTTAATCAGTTTATATTTTGTCGCAACAGTCGCCTTGAATGCAAATCCAATATTTGTGGTTTTGTGTACGTTTTAATTAGCGAGTAGATATTTCAACACATAAATACAGCTAGACAAACAATTTCACTCTTAACTAAAACGCGCCTACACCCAAAACAACCAAATGGAGCGAACGAAGGAGTCCAAACCAATTTAAATAAGATGGAAACGTCGAATGTTGCTTCACTTTCAGCGCACGGCCGAAACTGTCTGATTTGCTGCTTCCGCGGCGCTTTTATACACGAAGCACCGTTTGTACAACGACATGGCACGCAGACGCAGTCCCCGCAACGCAACGTCAATGACAACGATGCGGCTCTAGCGCTCTCGTATGCTGAGTCCGAAGCCACGCCAAATAGCGAGAGCCAATGCAGCGCCAAAGCTAAAGCGCAAGCGTCTTTGCCGACAACTGGTTACGTAGCCACTTATGCAGTCGACTTGTGATGATAGTTAGTTACCTGACATTGCAGACTTTGCTATCTAAGGAAGTTGCATCGCAAGAGAGGAAGCATTTAGGTATTTTGCGGAAAACAGGCACAGAGGTGATTATTATATATCCGATATATATGCAATGATATTTTAATTTTTAATGTTTGTATATAAATTCGTACTTGCAGAGAACACAGCCACAAAAATATCATGCCAAATCTTTAAGTGCTAAGTACGATATGTACGTATTTATTTTCAGTCTCTTTTATACTCAGCTTAAATTCTTCGTGTTTAATAATAAGAAAGTATGCCTTTGTACTGATTGGATGGAAATCAGTTTATTTTTATTAAAATGTCAATTGATGAAAGTTTGGAGGTATCAATAACGGTTTATGAGATTTTTATATTCTTCCGAAAAATTCTATATTCTACATACTCTGAGGTTGTTAGTACCGAGTTCGTTGATTTTGTAATATATGTACTGCTTTACCTAAATATTGTGGGAAAATGTCGTTTTGTAAATAAGTATCAGATTAATCCTACGAAATATTCATCAAATAGTTGTTACTTATGGAAATTAAAAGTTAATTTATGTATTTTAAAAATACATTCGCTTCAAAATTTTTATATTACTTTTAATGAAAAATTCTATAAAAATTACTTGACATGGTGCTATGATGATTTACGAATTAAGTAATTATACCTTAGTAACAATTTTGTTTTAGAAATGGATTTTGTATATATTGATTTTTAATTGACTGTTGTAAAAGTTCCCGATGAACGAGATTGTTTATTCATATTTGTATGTATGTCTGATATAGGAGAGATGAATATTGTTCTGTAAATTTCAACTAAATAAGTATTGTATATTCAATAAAGGCAGTTAATTTTAATTCCGTTGAGCTAATATGACTATATAAAATTCAGCGCACTACGAATTGCTTTTTTTTATACGCTTGCAATATGTTGCTACAGAGTATGAGAATATTGTTCACCTAACGGTTATTTGTATCACCTAAAGCTAATCGATATATATATATATATATAATTAGGATGACGAGACGAGTTGAAATCCGGATGTCTGTGTGAGCTGTAACTTGCGTAGAAATTAAGATTCGGTATATGTGTTCCTTGGGAAAAAGGTACGAGTTCGTAGATGGGCCTTATAGGACCACTGCCATGCCGACAAAGCGTCATTACACAAAAACGTCTAAAATGCCATAACTTAAAGATGCAAAACTTTAATTAGTAGCAAGGGACACCCGCGGGCTAAATACTTAAAACAAAAACATTGGCGTGACCTCGCCCTCTAAGAGGTTTAATGTACATACCTTCTAAATCATTTATTTGATTCATAATGAATTACTGTCGGGAACTTTTCATAAGCTCCGGTTTAAGGCTTCCTGCCACAGCAGCGTCTTCCAAGCAGACCATAATCATACCATAACCATAAAGGTAGCAGTATATCTACTGCTCCGGAGCGCAGCCTCCTTCAGAGTGGTCACAATCTACTCTGAAAGTGGGTAGCGAGATTAGCCTTGAGGTCGCTGACTGTGCTCTCAAGACTAGTGAAGGGATGTCTGGACTTCTTATCTTTAACATCGAGTTATTTTATGATTAGACTGGTTTGGGGTGCCTGAGCCATGAGCCTGCTAGAATAGGTACTTCAGTCTCAATAACTGCAGAATGAGGAAGAGTATGAGCTCCGTGGGCTTCTTGTGGTTCATTACTGGACTGTTGATCCTCAGACCATCTCAGCAATCTTCTTCTGGCCTAGGGTAAATCGTAAGAGGTCGATTGAACTCTTCGCTCTTGGCAAGGCACACCATTCAATGGATGTAGGAGTTCTAGCTTGACTCTGTCCGTTCGGTATTCATGGGGTAAAATTGAATATCTGCTGCAGATGAATCAGCGGTTTTGGGAGAAGATGAGATAGAATCATCTCAACACCTCCTTCTCGACTGTTCCGCTTTTACCAGATCAAGGCAAAAACACCTTGGATCACATACTTTAAGACATCGAGGTGAAATAGCGGAAATATAATTAAAACACCTATGCAGATTTATGAGAGGTTCAGAAAGTTTTCCCGATAGCTGATATCCAACTACAGGCGTTTTCCGCCACGATCAGCCATCAAACCTAACCTAGCTTAACCTGAGTAATTCAAAAATAGTTTTCTTAAAACGATTCGTAAAATTTCTATGGCACCGTCAATACGAAAATTCTTCATTATTCGCTTAGATTGAACTGATATTATTACTTTACTCTTTTATATCCCTTATCCAAAAAGTTTTGTAAGTTTACCGGCTATCTATCTTTTTTATCTCTATCTCAAATTTTTTCATTGCCGAATTAATTATTCTGCCGAAATGTATACTATTTTGGCACTTGAACTATCTTCGTACAAAGACATTTTGTGTCTGAAATGATATATAGGGAGTCAGCCGTAGTGACTAAGTACTTTAATCCATCAACTGCTTCTAGGTAATAATATTTGAGGACTAGTTTTTGTGTGTCAAAATCCAGATACACTGTAAAAATTTAAGGAAAACATTCATTAAATATCTAGCAAATGAGTCAATTTGTATGTGTATCCCTAAAGAAGGGATCTTAAATCGAATTTCGATGATCCAGAGAAACTAACTATTTCAGCTCTTTCTTAATTTTGGCGCAACTGGAAGAAAATTTTACTAATTACTAGCTTCCGCCTATTTTTTATGGTCCTTTCTGCACGGTATTTTGTCTGTCGTGTTTTTTCTGAAGACTGAAAATAGTGATAAACCAAAACTACTAGTAAATAATAATACCATTCTTTTGGAAACTATGAGAGTATTTCTGCCATAAAAAAACTTATCCACACATAAACCGGCTTAAAACCTTAATTTCTCTTTCCTATCTAATACCATTGAGGGAAACACCATGAGCATACATTATTTAAAAGTTTTTCAAACGATTGAATTCTATTTATTTAGTCAGAATCTCTGAATGCATCTAAGCTTGAAGCGCATAGTCGGTCAAAAAAGTTGGTTATGCAAACCAATTGTTCTTGCAATTGCAAATGAACACTGAACGGTTTTATCAAATATGCATCTCATTAGTTGGATCACAAGTCTATATCTATTTCAGTTTAGATAAAATCAGAAAAAACGTTAAAGTCATTTACACTGAAGTTAAAATACCCTCCACAAATAAAGAAGTTTACATACAAGAACTGGATTTTGATAGTACACTTTGCAGCTATATGCTATAGTGGTCTCATCTGGAAAATTTCTCCTGGTATCTTAGCATTATCATGCTAAGTTTCAGGTCAGTCAGTCATAAATCAAATGTGAAGGATGTAAATTAAAATCATGACATATACTGCTGAAAGGTTCGTTTAGTTCAAAATTCGACCTTCAAGATTTAGCAGTAAAGTCTGAACTGCCTCGATAAAGGAGCCGGAACATTAAATTTAACTTCAGACGCGAAACCGGAAACTGTTCCATTCAGGATTTTCAAAAGAAATACTAAGCGCAGCATTTAAGTAGTTTATGAAGGAAGACTTAACCTAGAATCCCATCGAAAATGCCTGAACCGTAAAGTAAAAAGTTTTTAAAAGCACTTTAAATTTCAGAATGGATTTGGTAACTATATATGATATATGGTAACTATATATATGATTTAAAAAGCTTTACGCTGTCGGCATATAATAACATTTTTGAGTACTATATTGCAAAAGAGATATCGATAATAAATAACAAGAACAGAATCGGGTCAAGATGACTACTTTGCGGAACAAATGAAGATACATTAATTGCATCTGTAAGAGTATTATTGAATACTACTCGTTGTGTTCTATTATAACATAAGAATAAGAAGATAAAATTATCCACGATGAAGAGTTTGGTCTTCAGTATAAAACCAAGATCTATGAATGTGTAGTATAAAATATCCTTTTTCAGTTAACTATGCATACTTACAAATGTTTCTAGGTATACTGACCCACTTCTCTTCAAAAATTTATGCTTCAACTTTCAATCTTCCATTATGTTTGCCCTTCTGTCCCGCTGCATAGTGCAGGTGTGTCTATGTTGGCTACCAGCGCCAGCAATGTCACAAATTTTACAAAGCCACACAACTAGCCGTTTTCAGGTTGTACTCAACTACAAGTGTGCATACACATACGGACATATGTAAGTACATATTGGATGTAAATATGGTATATTGCACATTTAACCGCTGCATGCTTTACAAGTGCATATCCGACTAAACGATTCGTCTCGGCTTTGTATTTGCACCACATAAGAGAGTTCGAGAGTTCTATCCGTTAATTGGGGTCATTCGTGTTTACTTTCATTAGTGGCTGAGGTGATGCGAGCGTTTATGGAGTTTCTGCTGCCGCAGCTGGTGCATTTGCATCTCAGCTTTGGTCTTCGTTCGGTTTACGGCGGTTGTTTTAATGACAGCGCCGCTCTGTGAGCGTTGTTTCATTTACGACTGAACGCTCATGTGTTTGTATGTATGTATGTACGGCCATTAAATGCTTCACGTATAATGAAAGGAAAGCAAGCTCGTTTGTGTTGTGGATCGGCAGAGTAAAAGTGTAGAAAATTACAGCAGCAGACGAAGAAAATTACCAAGCGTATGCAAATCGCCTGATATGACACATAACAAATGAGCGAGACTTTCAAAAGGACCGACCTGACCAAATGACCATCCACCCAGGCGGCTAATAGGCTGCAAAGCTTTTAGTGATATGACTGTTTCGGTGCATTCTTAATTATGTGAATCGAAACCTAGTTTTAAGCCGAAACTTGAATTTCAATGCACAGAACAAACTAACAACAAACTAAAA